AGTAATGGTTTAATAGATTTTTAACGACTTAATTTAATTGGACTTGATTAAACTGCAGGCTTCTTCAGGTCTGGGACTATGATTTTTCATCATTGTGTTCTTGGTGCCTTCCACTGTGTCCTTCATATACTTCGCTGTTTTTTAACTTGTACTTTGAGGGTACTGACTCTGAGTAGAATTGTAGAATTTCAACAAACTACATGGTTCATAGTGCCAACTTGTACTTTGTATTTTGAGGAAGCATCATGGTGATCTATACAATTAGCTGAGTTAAGCTAATCCCAGATTGAATGGCCATTATCTTTTATGGCACAGAATAAATTAGTTCATAGCTCAGCCCCAGCGTAGTTATGTCTTCTTTCTTGTCCTGAGTGCACACTACAGATATTCTTTACTCTGAAACATTTTAGAAGATTGAATATAACTGTGGTGAGAAGTGATTTCAAGAAAGCAGGCATTGGCTTGGGCCTGGTTATCTTGCCACTAGAGAGTATGGGATCTTGGGCAAATCACCTGACTTCTCATCCTTAGTTTCATCATCTATGAAGTGATGGACATTCAAGCATTGAAACAGATAATTGCTAAGGTTTCTTTCAGTTCTATAGCCTAAGAAAGTCTAGAATAATCATTAGATGGGCTTCACTATGGTATGGGTTTTGTTCTGCTTGATTTTCTGAAACTTTGTTTAGAATATAGACTGTCATTAACACAGCAGGTAGAAAGCCTAAATGCCTATCTTATATGGAAGCTGATAGGCTTCTCTCACAGCATTCTCACCCCAGACCTCCTGAAAATATTCAGAGCCACAAGTGACAAGGGAATTCTCTAGGTTGTGTGCAGCAAAGGGCCTTAATTCTCTAAGAAGACCTAGAGAATAGTAGAATAAAGAGTCTCAAAGAGTGATTTTTACTCAGAATGGAGGGAGGGTAAATTCAGATCTGTGTCAAAACTTGAGACATCTCCCTTCCTTTCTATGCTCAGGAAAAAGTGTTCTGAAACAGTAGATATGTAATAATGGTTGTTAAATTGAGCTGTTGGTTGAATATATTTCTCCTATTATACAGAGTTCGATAGATATAAGGTTAGAGGTAAGGATTGCGACAGGAATACGAATTGGAGCTGTGATTTCATCAGTGTAGGTAGTTTCAAATGAAAAATGTCCTCTAGAAATATAGGCCTGCAATTTCTCTGCAAATTATAATCTTTAAGAGTTTGCTAGAGCAGTGAGAGGTTAAGTATTTTGCCCAGGGTCGAACAACCCTGTGTGTGTCAAAGACAGGATCTAAACCTGTGTCTTCCTTGCTCTGAGGCCAACTCTCTAAATACTAAACAGGGCTTAATAACCAAAAGAAATCTCTCATAATTTTACAAATAGTGGTTACTCAGTTTTCTAATGTCACCACTGCACAAAGCCCTTCTGCCTCTTCTGAGGTCAGCAAGGAGGAGCAGCGTGGAAAGTGGAGAGTCATAAATAAGGCAATTCCTGAGTGACAGTGGGAAGCAGAAACCTCAGTCACTCGGAGCAAAAAAGGAAAGATTGGCAAGAGAAGTCATGGACAGCTCCTTATCCTATTGCTTACTTGCCCTGGCTTTACTCCAACCAGCTGTTCCTAGTCATCTAAGACATTCCTTCTGTCTCATAGCATGCTGTGATTCAATATACAAACAATATTTCTTTTTCTCCCTTGCCTTCACTTTGAGTTTATTTTATTTCTGACTAATGTCTCCCTCAATCTACTTTCGCTCTTATTCTCCCCTTTTCCCTAAGCCCATTTCATTCCTATTTCTTTTTTTGGGTAAGATGTATTTCTATAACCAACTGTGTTTATGTGTATTCTTCTCTCTTTTAACCTATTCAGATGAGAGTGATATTTACGTGTCATCTACTCCTCTATAGGATAAACTCCTCTTTGCTCACTCCATTTATGTGAGACACTTTTTCTCATTCTTCCTCTCCCTTCTCCCCTCTCCCAGAAGATCAGGATCTCTTCATTCCTCAAGCTCTCACCAACTCCACCCTTCACATAGGCATGGAGCATTGAATAATCAGTTTCCAGCAATAAAGTCCCATGAAAAATGTTTGTTTGGTTTTTCTTGGGGGGAACTAGGCAATGGGGTTCAATGACTTGCCCAGAGTCACACAGCTAGTAAGTGTTAAATGTCTAAGGCCATATTTGAACTAGGTCCTCCTGACTCCAGGGCCGGTGCTCTATCCACTGTGCCACCTAGCTGCCCAAAAAATGAGTTTTTAGGCATAGGTCACACCTTGTTGTTGTCTTTGCTGTTGTTCCATCTTCCGTCTTGAAAAGGACCAATGACATCATGAGGTGTGAATTGGATTTAACCTCAGACTCCAAACCTTATCTCTTATGGTTACACCTAGAAGAAATAAAGAAAGAGATTTTAAAAATGAAATAAAAGCTCTGCAGTGTTTTGGGGTATGATGCAATCAATGCCATCCACAACCAACAGCATCTGGAATATACCACTATCTGTAATATATCACAATCTATAGGGAATCCTTGTTCAATCCAGATGCTATGTTTGATTTCCTTCATCACAGTGGCAAATACTTTTGGCAAATATGCCTTTCTCTGCTTTGTGTTTCACCTGATGCTTATTATGAGGGTTGATGAATTGTTGTTACATCTTCCAAGGAATCTGGAATGATTTGGTATATGGATGGGAGTCACCCTGTTGAAAAGAGCCTGTAAGGCAGCATTTTATTCAGCTGAGTCAAATGCTTTCCTGTAACGGACCATGATCAATACAATGGGATCTTACTATTCTCTGCATTGTGAAAGGGTGAAGATGTGTCCCACTGTTGAATATTGTTTGGGAAATCCTACTTGTTCCCTATGAATACCCTCAATTTGCATATTTGTTGTGGTTCTGTCATTTAGTCACATCTGACTCTTCCCGACCCCATATAGGATTTTCTTGGCAAAAAAAAAAAAAGATGGAGGGGTTTGCCATTTCCTTCTCCAGGAGAATTTGTATATAGCTGATGTTTATAAATATTTTGTGTAGATAGAAAAATAGGTAGAAGGATTGGCAATTAGCAATACCTAGGGAAGGGTGTTAATAAAGTTTGAGGTGTTTCTAAGGCTTTGATATCTTCCCTTCATTCATATACCTTCACAACTGTATCTCTTCCAGCATAAATCTCCTCTATGTATCCTTGATCTAATATGACTATTTTTCCTGGCTTTGTTTCCTTTAGTCCTATTTCTCCCTCCTTTTTATTAGCTTCCCTAACGATGATGATGCCTAAACTATTAGGAGAATTTGGTCCTATATTAATTAAATTGCCAAGCAGTTACTCGATAGAGCTATATGAAGTAACAGCTAAATTCATTTAGAAGAAATGAAGATTTAGAATCTTAAAGGAAATAATGGGGGAAAGTAAGGGAAAAGGAGAACTAAGACTTTCAGACTCAAAACTATATTATAAATCAATAATCATCTATTTTGGTACTGGTTAAAAAAATAGAAAAGGGGATCAGTGAAGCAGACTAGTTAAGGAAGAATCAGAAAAAAGAATTAAATAATCCAGTGTTAGATAAAATCAAGAAAATGAACTACTTGAAATGGGACTCCCTTATTAACAAGAACTGCTGGGAAAACTTAAAAGAAGTTTGGGATAAATTAATTTTCAAATAGCATCACATACCATATATATAAACATGTTCCAAATGCATAGTAGACTTCAATATAAAAGGTCACATCATTTTTTAAAAGTGTTAGAAGCATTGGTGATATCTTTCACAACTATCATTAAGGGAGGATATTTACCAAACAAGGAGAAGAGCTCACAAAAGATAAGAAAAGATTATTTCAATTACATAAAGTCAAATAACTTTTATAGGAACAAGTCATTACAGCTACGATAAGGGAAACTTGGTTGACAAATGACAACAGCAACTTTGCAATGAATATATCAGATTAGGTTCTAAAGAACTGACAAAATATGTAAGAGCAAGATTAATTCCTCAATGGATAAGTTAGACAAATGATATGAACAAACAGTTATCAAATGATTTGCAAGCTATTAACAACTATAAGAAAGATTGCTTCAAAGCACTAAAAAAAAAAAAAAGGAAGTGCAAACTCAAACATTTCTGAGGTTTTGCCTGACACCAAAATTGGCAAAGATGACCAAAAAAATCCATTTTGGAGGGGTTCTGGGAAGGTAGGCACATGACTCTTTCATTCTACTACTCTTACACACTTTTTAAAGGATGCACATGGGCCTGTACATATCACTGTTTGCTGACTTCATCTGAGGGTCAGACTACCATAAGAGAACATAGACGTACAAACAAAGAGGCAGACTACCAGGAATCCAAAACCACCTGAGAGCGAGCCAGGCACCTTACACTAATCAAAGTTCAACATAAGCCTCCCCCTCCTGTCCTTTCACAACTCATCATTCTGGGTAAGCAGAATGGTAAGGAGCCATTTTTTGTATACTAGCAGTATTAGTATTCTTGTCAAATATAATCTTCAGCATAGAAATGCCAGAGCATTTACCCAATAAAACGGCCCCATCAGCTTCCCCTCAGTTGCATTGCCTTTTCCTCTGTTCTAACAATGCCAAAATAGTCCCACGAACTAGTTAGAAAAAAGTAAGATACAGAACGTTTCTAATGAGACTCCAAATACGTATGTGTTCCTTATGTAAAGGAATTAATTTCACTACATTGCATCAACTAGACCAGGGGTGGGGAACCTGTGGCCTCGAGGCCACATGTAGCCTTCTAGGTTTTTAGGAGCCGCCTTTTGACTGAGTCCAAGTTTTACAGAACAAATCCTTTTATTAAGGGAATTTGTTCTATGAAGTTTGGATTCAGTCAAAAGGCCACACTTGAGGACCTAGAGGGTCACTTGCAGCCTCAAGGCTGCAGGTTCCCCACCCCTGAACTAGATTTCAATTGACCCCAGCCATTCTTATTAAGAATACATACTGTTGGGTTTGGCGGAACCAGCAGTGCCAAAGGATGGAGACAGTGGTTTTCGTCTTCTCATTTGATTGCTGTGCCCTCATCTTCTTTTCTGTCTGTTTTATAATCACATTATCTAATTTAGAATGTGACTATATCAATGCTAGGTCTTGTTGCTCAAAATTAAACAAGTGGGTGGTCCCAGAATTGATTGGCCATGTTATTGTTGCCATATTAATGCTTATTTCATTGCACTGGTTCATCTTTCTCCTCAACTTGCCTGTTGCTACCAGGAATATGTATCAGCTCATTATGGTGCCAAGTGGGAACATGGAAGTGTTTGATCCTACAGAGATACACAACTGAGGGCAGTTGAAGTCACACATGAAGGAAGCCATGATCAAGCTTGGTTTTCATTTCCTTTGTTTCTTCATGTACCTTTATAGTATGATTCTGGCTTTGATAAATGATTGAACCTGGAAGGAGATGCCTAAGTTGGAGTCTTACACTACAGTGAATGGTTGAGGAGCCAGAGATGAGTTTAGCTCATACCTAGACCGTGTCCATCAAGCAGTATATTTTTTTCCTCTTTGGACAAAAAAAAACCCCAAAAAACTCTTTTTACTGTATTTCTACCACATAAAGTATTTTAAAAATATGAACTAAGTTCTTGTAGATTTGTGGTTCTCAGCCTCACCCCTAGCACATGTAATCAAGGCACCCATTTGATCTTCTCTGTGTTGAAAATCATCATTTGTTGAAGGAATGGTACTATCATTGAAGAATTGCAAGCCAAAGAAATGAAGAATATATATAAAACGAGAAAAGTTTCCTGGATTAGCAAAAATATCCTGAAGTTCACAGTGATAAGGCAGAGTTCACCATGCCAGTATCAGTCTGACTAAAAGAAAATTAGCTGTCTTCTTTCCCTATAATTCTACAATTTCATGTACTTAATATACTTTAAAATTTGTAAGACTTTCAACCAAAGGTTATTTCATATGAATATTTTTTTTGAAACGACATTTCAACAGAATTCTTACAGAAGTTATAAAACTTTTTAAGCCATATACCAGTGTTAACCTGTTTAAAGATAGGACAAATACAAAGAGAGCAAAAATTGTAGCTAGGACATTTGATTAATGTAGTTGCTCCATCCACAGCTCCAGTTCCTTAAACACATAGTCTTAATGGTTTTCACCAGTTGTTAATTTGTTTGTCATGGTTCAAAATCATTGAACCTGAATTCATTCTTTCTTATATTCTAGTGGTTTTAGAGTGGGAATATTTATTTGGTAGATGCTGACTGAATTATAAACAGGAGATGACTGTAGTTGGAATCAATTTGAAATCAAGCTATTATTGTTTATCTGAAGCCAAATAAACAATAACTAGTCTGTCTGGCTACATTTAAAAAAAAAAAACAACATACTGTTGTATGTAAGGAGGATCAGCAGAGAATATATAGATGAATCAACATAAATCTATTCACGTCATAAAAAAACAACCCAAAATACATTTTTCACTAGTATTATCTTGCTGTATAAAGTTAAAAGTATTCTCTGTGTGGTAAGAATTCCAAAGAAAGTATTCTTCATCTCTGACATAAATAAACCTATTAGGATATGATTTTGAAAAGCAAAATATCATCTTTTTTTTCCTAAATTTAATGTGTTTTCCATTGGGAAAAAAAAATTAACTTATTTCAACTCTAAGCTCTCACCAAGATCCTTTGTGGGTGACTCCCCTAGAGTACCTGAACACAGATCATTTAACTTTTAGACAAAATACATTATTTTGTAATGAAGCTAGTAGTAAAATGATTTTTTTTGGTTCTGTGATTTCACTGGTATGTGCAAAGTCCATATCCATAGATGCAGGTCAGCAATCCTGCAACTTAAAGTCCTACAGAATTGCTGGGGGTACTGAGAGGGCAAGTGACTTACTTGTGGTCAGCTAGCTAATATATGACAGAGGAAGGACTCAGGTCTTACTTCTTCCCCAAGCTTGGCCTTCTATCCATTATGCCACACTGCCTCTCAATAAATAGCGGTACATATAGGCCCATGTAAAAACTAAAACATTATTTGTTAAGTAATAATTGAGTGAAAGAGGAAAATATAAAACACCATCACATTAAGTCAGAGATAATGATACAATACCATAAAACAGAACTTATGGCTGCACCTAATATAGCACTGAGAAGGGAGATCTGTAGCGTTGAATAACTAATTGAACAAAAGAGAAAGATAATTAATAAGCTTAGTCTGTGCTTTAAAACCTTAGAAAAGAAGCAACCCAGTAGAAAAGGAGAAAAAAGAGAAATAACCAAAAGCAGATCAATAAGTTAAGAATTGGAAAATAATTAAAATAACAAGTAAATCTAAGAGCTTTTTAAAAATACTGCCAAACTTAAAAGCAATTAACTGATCTAATTTAAAATGAAATGGAAAGATGAGAGCAAATACAAACCAACAAAATCAGAAATGAAAGATCACAAGAGCAAAAGAAACCAAGAAATGTATCACATATTACTATACACATATATATTACTGTGTTAATATAGTAATATATATTAGTGTATTAATATCATATATTACTATACACAGCTATATTCCTTTTAAAAAATAGAATCTAAATGAAATGACTGATTAGCCACAGAAGTATAAAATATCATAATTAACATTGAAAAGGACTGGATTATCTAAATAGACTAAACTGAGGAGAAACCAGATAGACCATTAAAGATCAGCTTTACAAAGACTATGAGCCCAGATGAATTCACAAGTGAATTCTATGAAACTTTCAAAGAATAGGTAACTCCTACACTATATAGATGCTTTCGAAACATAGAGAAAGACTGCAGATTGTCTATTTCCTTCAGTAACAGTGAGTGTAGTTGCTAGGTGCACATTTCACAATGCTACCAAAACTATACCCATTTACATCTGGCTTGTTCTCCCGCTTTCTAAAATCTACAGAAAAGCAAGGTGCTACTCAAATAATCAAATAACTAGGCAGTGTGTCATACATTTGGGCCACCAAGTGGTGCCAATCTCTGACCACCAACCTAGCAAGTAACAGGTAATCAAAAGGTAATCATTTTGTGTATGTAGGCTTTCACAGGAGCTTCAGAACCAAAAGACATTAACCAGGAAGCTCTTAGACTTTCTCTCCCACCTGGATCATCCTAAGCCAGACCTGCACAACTTGGCGGTAGGCAGGAGCAAAAATTAAAATAGCTAAACTTCTTTGGGCCACAGATAGGTTTTAAGCAGCTCACTTTCCAAGTAAAGGTATAATTAACGATAAAACTATTTTGTAAATGAACCATGTCTTTAAAAAAGTGAAATTTCAATTAATATAAATTAATAACTTATTACTTAATGTTTTTATTTGTCATGAAATCACATCATTGTTAAAAAAAATTAGTTTGCTAAGGAGTACAAATTTTAATACATTTTTTCAGGTTTTCTTACTGTTTACATTTAGTAACAACTCAAAACACAGTGAAAAGATATGACTCTCTTCCCAGACTAGAGATAGACTGATGATGGTTGGTTGCCATGGGTCATGTGACAAAGAGAAGAAAGTGCGCAGTGGCAACCCACCCACCAAGTTACATGACGGGCACAATAGTGACTAGTGGAAGTCAGGTTAAGCAGGGCACAGACAAAGCACTCGTTACATCTTTACTTTCTTTCATATCCTCTACATTTTTTGTGGGTGGCCTGAAATCCTTTGGTGGGCCCAAGGGCCATATTTCGTGTAGGCCTGTTCTAAGTCCTCCCTGGCTCAGGGATAGTGCTGCTAGCACCAGTTCAAAACTGATCTATGGAAACAAAAATGGAACATTTCTCTGCATAAGAATTGTAGAAATCGCTATATTACTTAAACACACACATACATACTAGGTCTGGGGAAAGGCTTTCAATCCAACCAACTCTATATTTCATATGACTTCACTGATAAGCCATGCTGTAGCCATATACATTTTTATGAAACAAATAAAATAAAATAAAAAATAAATAATATAAATATTAATTATATTGATATTAATTAATATAAATAAAAAAGAATGGCAAAATTGCCAATGTTCTCTCTCTTAAGAGCTGTATTGAGGTGTTCAGATTAACAGCCTCCAACCCAGTTCTCCTGACCATCAGGTCTGGAAGTAGAAAACTTCCTCCTTGATATTTCCTGCTTTCTCTGGGCTGGAGATATGAGTCTGAGACCTCCTTTCAGAGACCCAGGACCTCAATCAACTAAGACAAAGAAATGTGGGAAAGGGCAATTGGTTTTCCCTCCATCTCACCAAATGTTACGATAGCCAGAAATTTTTGTTCAGGCACCCCAGAATCTGTCTCTGCTTCTGACTCTCTTCAGCAGCACTAACACCCCAAGGTCACAGGAGTCAGCTTTCACCATTACTTCAGGCCATGGTCACAGCAGAAGCCACATTCAAAATTATCATGCCGAGCAAAACAGCTGATTGCACTTGGTGGTTGGCAAGGCCCACAGGCTATTTAGGTCTGACTTTTTCCATATGTGTCCTTCCCTCCAAAACTTGGGGCAGAAAATCTTTCAAGGGCAAAGGAAAGAGAAATTCAAGGATAATGGGGAAATGTATGATCACATACTTTCCCACCTCCCCTGGGGCTTCAATGATCTACTACTGTAAGTTAGTAACTAAGTTTTGTAACTTTCAAGAGGCATTATAAAGGCTTATTACTTTCCTATAATTTAATTCAATAAACATTTATTAAATGTCTACTATGTAAAAAAAAAGCCTACTATGTGCCAGGTACTTTGCTAAGTCCTAGAGTCTTAGGGAGACAAAAAGTAGCAAAAGATAGTCTCTGCCTTCAAGGTGCTTACACTATAAAGGGGGTGAGGGGAGGAGAGAAAACATACAAACAAATATATAAAGGCACACCTCATTGTTTTATTGTTCTTTGTTTTATTGCATTTTACAGATACTGTGTTTTGGGTTTTTTTTACAAATCGAAGGTTTGTGGTGACCCTGTGTCAAGCAAGTCTATTGGCGCCATTTTTCCAACAGCACTGTTCACATTGTGACTCTTGTCACATTTTGATAATTCTAGCAATATTTCAAACTTTTTCATTAAAATTATATCTCTTATGGTAATCTGTGATAAGTGATCTTTGATGTTACTACTGTAATTGTTTTAGGGCGCTGCAAACCACACACATATAAGACAGCGAACTTAATTGATAAATATTGTATATGTTCTGACTGATCCACCTACCTGCCATCTCTCTCCCTCTCCTCCAGCCTCTCTTGTCCTCCCTGGAGACACAACAATATTGAAGAATATTACATAAACTTACTTGATAAAGCAGCAGCAGGTTTTGAGAAGATGGACTCCAATTTTGAAAAAAGTTCTACTGTATGTATGTAAGTAAGGTGAATTTTAGTGTGTGTAAGGGGGATTTTTTTGTTATTCTTTCTTAATCTTCTTTCCCAGGATC